TCGCAAGTCTACTCCCAGTACTGGCGGTATCAAGAAGCCTCACAGGTATCGTCCGGGCACCGTCGCTCTGCGTGAGATTAGACGTTATCAGAAGAGCACGGATCTTCTCATCCGCAAATTGCCCTTCCAGAGGCTCGTGCGTGAGGTTGCCCAGGACTTCAAAACTGACTTGAGGTTTCAGAGCAGTGCAGTTATGGCTTTACAGGAGGCCGCGGAAGCTTACCTCGTGGGTCTTTTCGAAGACACAAATCTTTGCGCAATTCACGCTAAGCGTGTTACCATCATGCCCAAGGATATGCAGCTAGCTAGGAGGATCCGCGGCGAGAGGTCGTAAGCCTCTTGTGATCCGGGAGTTGCCATCCGCACAGTATTACAAGGCGTTTCTCAACGCCATCTTGTCGAACTGTCTATAAATGTCACACGTTTTTTAGTAAAGTCCGCGGTCTACGATTGATTTCAGCGGAGCTGATGGTTACTTTTCACTTTTTTCATCAAAATGAGCGTGAGGCGCCACTGGATGATATCGCATCGTCATTTCATCTCCCACATTCTCACACTCGCTTATAAACAAAACATGTCTGGCAAAGGCAAAGGTGGACGCGGTAAGGCTGGCAAGAAGAGTGGCAGCGGAGCTAAGTCTCGGTCCGCCAAGGCCGGGCTACAGTTCCCTGTTGGCCGTATCGCGAGGTACCTCAAGAAGGGGCGTTATGCCAAACGCGTAGGTTCTGGGGCGCCAGTTTACTTAGCTGCAGTCTTGGAGTACCTCGTCGCTGAGATTCTCGAGCTCGCCGGTAACGCTGCGCGTGATCATAAGAAGACTAGGATCATTCCTCGTCATATTCAATTGGCTGTCCGCAACGATGAGGAACTGAACAAATTCCTCGCTGGTGTAACTCTTGCGAGTGGTGGCGTCTTACCCAACATCCACACTACTCTTTTGCCCAAAAAGAGTAAGGGCAAGAGCTTTACTGCTTCCCAGGAGATGTAAATAATCCCCTCGGGCTTATGCAGCTGGAGGCACTAACCTGCTGAACTCGTTTCAAGGCGTTTTTTGGCGCCATCTAAACACCAATTGAAGTATCTCAGGAACGCAATTATTGCACAAATGATGTGAGGAAAGGATTCGTAATGTTGCCGATTAAATTTTATGTTCCTCAGCATTTTTACGAGATTTGTATTAGAAGTTTCTCGGAGGGCCGAGACAATGTTCAGATGTTTTCGAACTACATAATATTCTACTGACTCTCTAAATTCTAATATGGCTCCCAAAACTGCCGCCGCCAGCAAGCCT